AAACAGAACAGAGTCATATTTCTGTGGATTCAGGTCAGATTCGTGACTTTGTAGGTTAAAACTGTCGATTGAAAAACTTTGCATAGCTGCCGCACATTCTCACGGCAGGTGAAAAGTGTACGTATATTTACGCACACTTTCAAGCAACATTGGTTTTGATACATCAAAATGTGGGCGTAGAACCTGGCACACACAACCTTTTTATGCGTACGCACCGTTTATACATGAGGCCCCTGAAAACAAAGATTGTTCATTGTCATGGTTTAGGGGAAGGATATAGAAAGCTGTCTCAGAGATTTCAGCTTTCAGTCTCCACTGTGAGAAACATTGTGAGAAAATGGAGGACCACAGGCACGGTTCAAGTCAAGGATTGAAGTGGCAGACCGAGAATAATCTGGAATAAACAGAAGCGAAGGATGTTGAGAACAGTCAGAGTCAACCCACAGACCAGCACCAAATCATCTTGCTGCTGATGGAGTCACTGTGCATCGTTCAACTRTTCAGCACACTTTACGCAAGGAGATGCTGTATGTGAGAGTGATGCAGAAGAAGCCTTTTCTCCGCCCACATCACAAACAGAGCTGCTTGAGGTATGTTAAAGCACATTTGGACAAGCAGCTTCATTTTGGAATAAGGTGCTGTGGACTGATGAAACTAAAATAGAGTTATTTGGGCAGAACAAGCGTCGTTATGYATGGAGGAAAAAGAACACAGCACTCCAAGAAAAACCCCTGCTACCTTCAGTAAAATGTGGTGGTGGTTCCATCATGCTGTGGGGCTGTGTGGCCAGTACAGGGACTGGGAATCTTGTTAAAGTTGAGGGAYGCATGGATTCCAACTAATATCAGCAGATTCTGGAGACCARTRTCCAGGACTCAGTGACAAAGCTGAAGCTGCTGAAGCCAGGGCTGCATCTTCCAACAAGACAACCACCCTAAACACTGCTCAAAATCTACTAATGCATTCATGCAGAGGAACAAATACAACATTCTGAAATGGCCATCTCAGTCCCCGGACCTGAATATTATTGAAAATCTGTGGTGTCACTTAAAGAGAGCTGTCCATGCTCAGAAACCATCAAACCTGAATGAACTAGAGATGTTTTGTAAAGAAGAATGGTCTAAAATACCTTCAGCYACAATCCAGACTCTCATTAGAAGCTGTAGGAAGCATTTACATCCTGTTATTTCTGCGAAAGCAGGATCTACTAAATATTGAGTTAAGGTTGTTTTTTTTTTGTGCCCAAATTTATGCACCTGCCTAATTTTGTTTAACCAGTTATTGCACACTTTCTGTAAATCATATAAACTTCCTTTCACTTCTCAAAAATCACTGTGTTTGTCCCCTATATGATATATCTTATTGATTTTTTTTATCAAAACAATCACGATTTATAAAGGTAAATCAGGAAAATTAACAAGGCTGCCCAAATTTTTGCACTCCACTGTATTTGCCTAAAGTAAAAGTCATGCAGTCCATGAGAAGGACACAGAAACACTGTTTCTTCTTCCTTTTGCCATTTAAAAAAATCAGTTGGGAAACAAACACTTTTTGTGCCTTAAGTGCCCTTATTCTGAACTTGCTCCAGTTTTTCCTTTTGCTCATTGGTGTCACTAATAAAGGGAACACAACCAAAGTGAAGTCCATTTCTGATGAGAGCACAGTAACCCAGCACCGAGTCTTCCACTAGCATACGATGCAGGCAGGTATTAAGTGGACTATGGTGGCTTTATGCACTCTCCAGCATGTGCTGGAACAGGACTGAGCAGAAGTGGAGTTAGTGCCAACAGTTAGACCCCTCTATTTGGGAAGGTTGAAAGCCTGATGAAAGCCTCAGTGTTTTAAAGACTATTTTAAGCAGTTTTTGCTTTAGTTTTCCTGTTCAGAAGGGGAAKCTGAAAATAAGCTTTAGGTCAAATTCCATTACCTATAAATACCTACCCCTAGATTTCACAATACAGGTTTGTTTTTTTAATTGAAAGTAATAAGGGTCAGTGATTAAAGTATTCCATTCATAAAGGGAACACCTATGTGTTACTTCAATCTAAAGGTTAAAGGGAATTATGGAAACTGAAAACAAAATGTGTGATTGATTGTTATCAATTTTGTTATCATTGGCCTTTTTTAAAATTTAAAACTGCTTTTATTAGTCTCCAGTTACAGCAAATCATCAAAACAGATTGAAATCTATTGCCAATCAATGTCATATAACACTTTTTTAAACTCATTTTAGAGATCAGTCAGTAAGCATTTAAATTCAAGATTCTACAAAAACAAGGACAAATGTCTTGTTCAGTAAGTTATTTTGGATTTAAATAATGTAGACTGAGTGAAATGCATTTTTTAATTAARGTGTTGTTCACTAATTGTAATGTACATTTTACTTGATACATGCAATAAAAATGCATTTTTATGAGGTCTTTCTCTGGGTCATTGAAACCTCATTAGCACTTCAATGGAAGTTTTCCTTCATTTGATGGACGTAAACAGTAATTACACAGCTTCAGAAGGACTGACATCCTAAATAGATGTGTTTCATACAAACCTACAGGAAGAGTGTTATTGGACCATCAAAGGCTAAAAATAATTACAATGAGACAAAGGAATGAAATAATTAAAAATATAAACAGACCACCCACCTCCCTACATGAACAGAAAAAAAGAAGCAACATCAACACAATGTTTTTTTTATATCATCCACACACATACAGTATGTGTTTGCATTGCTGCCTTGTTGTTAGTTCAAGAATTTTAGTCTGTTTCTCTGCCATGTCAAATTTCCTTATGCTTTGTGTGTGGGCAGTGTATTGGCAAGTCAGCTTCAATGCTCTGCTTTATCCCTTGTCTCTGATTGGCTCTGACAGAGTAAAGAATCCTTCTTAGACTTGTTTGTGATTGGCTGACTGACAGATTTCTCCCACCATTACCCAAGTTTTATATTAACTTCTAGAGGCAATTCTATAAATTCATAAGCAAACCCACAGTCCCTGTCTGTCTGCCCGTTTGGGATTTATCTCAGCTGTCTTTGCACACTCAAATCTCAGTCTTAGTAATAAAGGTTTGACTGCATACAAACAAGACACCTTTGGGACTTTGGAGAGAGGAGAAAAGAGTAAGAGTCATAAAACTGAATATTCTTTTTGAAATATTAGCCCCCAACAAAGTCTGTCACCATAGCCTTTCATCTCTCCTCAAGTTCTTTCATGAATTATCATGTTGTCTTCCCACTAGTGTCTTTTCAAATTAAAAATGTACAAATAAGCTTTATCCTCTCTGAGTCAACAAGTCTGCATTAATTATGTGCCAGCTGGAAAATGCAACCTATCATTACATCGGAAAGTAATGTATTTCTGGTGTTTTTAGAGGCATATTGTAAAAACAACCATACACAAGAAACCCAAAAGTTTCTAAAGGTTTGCAGAAAGATATGACTGTGGTAGCACCTACTATACATATCTGCATTATCACTGATATACCACAGCCGGATTCAAGACCACAAGCCAAAAGAAGCTGTAACCCCATGTGAAAGGAGGCAAGACACCAAGATCAATGCAACACAGAGATATGTCAGCCAGCTGTCAGAGCAACAAACAAGTTCAACAAAGATCAAAATCCCAAGGAAATTCTACAACCTGTCAATATCTGGAGCTCCAGAGACAGTCAAACAAAGCCTCATAGTTCTGGCTACCTATAGGCACACTAGAGACATAAGCCAGGAGCCAAGAGACTGCACCATTCAGAGATTACTCTCAGTGGCAGGTGAATAACAGAAGAGTAGATGTCCGAGACTGAATAATAAAAAAAAACATATGAGAGAAGAAGGCATCAAATAACACAAATATAACCTAAGAGCAGCATTCTCTCAAAACAAGAACCAGTTTACATCAGAATGGCAGACATCCAAGACTGTAATTTACTTAGAGTTGGAATTGCACCAGGCATTTCCATGAACTTTTAGAAACACAAATTATCCATTTGCACCATAGAGCTTGACCCAAGGCAGGTCCGTCTTGATTATGAATGACCTTCAGGATTGGGAAAATCCATCCAACACTTTCCAATAACATGAATCAGCTCAAAAAGTAGAGAATCTTTGGAATAAGTTACTGCAGGACTTCTAGGTCAAGACTGACAGGCAGGTGATGGCTAATCAATCGCACATCATGATGGTCAACAAACTACGGATGTAAGTAGTTTATAGACGTGATAGCAAGCAACAGTAACATCAAGAAAATGATAAGTAATAACACGGGTTAAAAATAAATAGAAATATTGTGGTAAGTTGAGGAGTCCTCAGAGCTGTGACCACCACAGTGTAGGGGTGGCAACCTCAGAGATCCCAGTCTATGAGTGGGCATTCTTTTAAACAACTAAGATATTGCACAGACAACTCAAGCCCCCAGACCTCTGGTRACAGACCCAAGCTTGAAGTGAAGGACATGTATTTGGAGAGAGGATTATATGTATACATACTGTGTGCTGCATATGTGTGTAGCACAATTACCATCAACTATCAATTTAAAATTTTTATTTTATTTTTTGTGTAGGATAGCAAAGTAACAAGGGGWAAGAGGTTAAGAGAGTCTAAATGATCCTTGAAGGTGATATTTTAACATTATTGGTTAGAAAATAAAATTCTATGCTTTTATGATTTAAGAAATTAGAAACAATCGGAGGCTTTACACAGTGCCATGTTGAGCTGGTATCGATTCCTGCTGGTTATGCTCACCTTGAACATATTAATGGTTGTACTTAGCGCACACAATGTCAATCACAGTGACACTAATTAGAGCCATGAAGCCAGTTCCTGAACTGAACCTACAGAAAATYGGCGACAAATGATTTCATTGGGGCAAACATTATCGACTATTCATGAAGTATGTATAGCTTTTTAAATCAGCAAGAAATACCAGCGATACATGAGCCCAGTTTAACAATGAATGCACACACAGTAGCTGGAGTGATCAGAGGGTGTAGACTGGAGGAAGGTTCTGTTGTACCTGTCATAGTCTCCATTACAGAGCGCTCTCACTGGGATGGTGAAAGGCTGCCACACTGGATTTAATGTATTCTTCACCACCTCTGTTTTATGGCAGATAGTAAACCTAGAGACAGTGGAGGATGGACATTAGAAAATAACAGGTACAATGGTATAATGAAAAACAAAACTGATTCTCTGCTGCTTACACGATCAAAGAAGAAAAGAAAAACAATTATAATAGAACAATATGCAGTAATTATGCAGACCATGGGAGGAGCATGCATTTGAATAGATGGAGGGAATTGGGCAGGTGAATCCCACAGCCATGTTTTCAAGTGACAGGAGAGATGCTTTAAATAGGACTTTGTATTCTTTTGGCTCAGGCTTTGGACCACAGAGACTAATTTAAAATTCTGGTCTGGCTTTTAAATCCCTTCCCTGGTTGACAAGAGTGACACTGACCTGTGAATGGACTTTTCAGATATTTAAAATGCTTCAGAGAAAAAAAAAAAACACCTAAACGTCCTCTCAAAAAAGCAACAGCAGGTTTCACAGTTTTGTGTTAGTTGTCTTACTCAGAGGCTTGGATTAGGTTGTTTGTGCTTCACTGAATGCCTCGAGCCTTTTAACGCCTTCCGACTCCTTTACCCATTCAAGCCTCAATTTGTAACACCCTCCCAGGACTAACAAACAGATACTTGTGAAAGGACTGGGGGATCTGTTTCCTCGCTATTATGCACAATGCCAAACGGATCCAGAAAAGCTTGAAGGCATCTCTTGGCAGATTCAGCTGACTCTGTCACAACTGCAAGGTCCTATGACAGGCTGAAGAGCACTCTGGGAGAAGTCCCCCCACCCCTCCTCCTCCACCCCCCGTGAGGAGATTGGAGAGTGTGATGCATCTCTAATGAAATTGCCTCTACAAATGACTGTTTTCTTCCCATTAAGGGAAAATGCAGATGCAGTGTTTTGTTATTCCTTTTTTTCTATACCTTTTACATTAATTGCCCCCTTTTTCATGTTTGCTTTCCTGGCATCATTTATAGGTGAAACATAGCCATGGGAATTGACTGTGCTGTCCAAAAGATGCATGCATTATTTTACAGCCTCTAGGAACGTGCATGGCTCATTAACACCTGCAGCTATATTGTCAAAGATTTCTATTGGCTCTTTCCTTTTGGGAGTATTTTTTTAGGTTTATGAACARAATTTCCACATTTTATGTTCTTATAATAAGATTTAAAGTACATGTGATATCATTATTTTGTAATAAATATGAATGTATTTTAGGAAAGATACCATTGATTACATATTGCAAACAGAATTTTACATAGCTGAGTTGAACAGCTGTTGATATATTCTCATGTTAAGTTAAAGGAAGTGATGTCAAAGGTGAATGTCTGCATGTAAACATAGCTTTGCTAAGTTGGCAAAAACAGTAGAGAAGAATCTGATGTTTCTTTAGATCATTTTTTGTCAATTAGAGTGATTAAGAGTTCAAATTATATTATTTTAAAAAACAAAGACCAGGGAGTCTCTGTTCTGAAAGAATTCCCCTTTGTTATCACTTCCTGTTTCATTTTGGCTGAGCCAAATTCAAAAGACAATATGGGTAAAATCATGCGTATGATGCCAAGTTTCTTGAATATAAAGATGTTTTCTTGACTTTTTGTATTTGAAAGATATGTATGTTAGGCACTTTAAGGAGCACAAATAATACAGCAAATGCTAAAACTTTACATTAATGCGTTGTTTTTTTGATTGCAGGTTTTCCACAGTAAAAAAAAAGGTGCACCTAAGTGAATTTTGAGTAACAATATTATTTTCTGCTTGAAATGAAAAACAAAGTGAAAAAATTGTAGGTAGTTCTAGCTGTAAATGTTGGTTAAATGTTTGCATATCAAGACAATTTGGAGGAATAAAGAATTATTTCACGGTGGGACTCAAAGTCACAATCTTTGCCTTGCAAGCATTTCTCGTAACATCCTGCTCTAAGCTGCCACACAACAGCAGTTTTCACTTTTCTGCCTCCATAGATGTTTAGACCAAGAATCAACCTTTACAATTAGTTTTTAAGTCTTTGCTGATACACTCTGGAATTTTAGCAGCTTTTACAAAGTAAATATGTGGATTTTAATTAAACAACCAGTTACATAAAATCACAAGATGCACTTACGTCCCATCCTCATTGCTTCTGTAGAAAACCATGAAAGGGTCAGATTTGCCAAAAAAGTCCTTTTTGTCCAGCTTGTTGGCACAGAACTGCATAGTGGCACTGTCCTGCAGGTATGAGAAGAAATTTGATGAGGATGAAGACTGACAGATCAAGTCATTTGTAATTTCTTTATTGTATGTGGATCTATCATCATCCTTCTTTACTCCTCTGTTGTCTTTGCTTCTTGCTATGAGGCAACCAAAAGTTTGGGGTGCACTCAAAACTGTAAGACTGAAATCCAAGCTGAGGAACGTTTCCAATACTGACTGAGTGCCTTTAAATCTGCTGCACTTTTTGGACTATTTTCTTTTCCTGTACACTCCAGCTCTCTCCAAACATTATTAGTGGACTAATGTATGCATGCTGAGCATAGATCGATCACGTTTACCATATATCCATGGTGCAGAGGCTGAACAGAAAATCTGAACACATTCCTGCACAAAACGTTTTCATACATACAGTATGGAATATACCACTTTCCAGGTTGATGGCTGTAATAGTGACATGATGAATCTAAATGTTTAATGTGAAACTTTATATCTATTAAGTTTAAGGTTTTCAAGAAAAGGTAAAAGTGTTAACTTTAATCTTTGTACATTACTGACATTTTAGAGTGAGCTAATTTAGCTTTTATTGGAATTTCTGAGTGGTTCTAGATGATTTCAAGTATAAAGCCTCCACAAGAAAACCAGTGAATATATATATATATANATATATATATACTGTAAAGTACAAAAGAGCCATTTTGCACCAGTTTAGAACATACTTTTCTGAAAGCTGTTCCATTTATCTCCAAGTTGTTAAAGTCTGAATGGTATAAATCTTCTCTAAAGTATATGATTTTTGGGTGGTAAAATATTGCTGTCAGCTAACTATCTTTAAACACAACCTACATAATTTGTTTATGTCATTACAGTTTACTGTATGTGCATGAGATGACTTATTTTTCAACTCTCAAAACTGCTTTCATTAGTGGCAACAGAAGAATAAGTTTAATTTTAGCACAAGTAACAGACATCAAGCTAACTCTGATTCTTGCCAAAGCAGCTGGAATACAGTACATCAGAGGTTTTTTCTGAAGAACTTGAGTCTCAGAAAAACATAAAACACAAAAGCAGAAAACATTTTTTCTGCTTTGAGCTTAGTGTTTTCCTAATCTGCTCTGAGAGCTGCTTTGTTCCCATTTTTTGCTCCTAATCTTCTAAAGTTATTTTCAGGTTCCATCTAGGTTAAAATTTGATGTCGGGGAAGTGAATTTATAACTTTCTTATTCAGGAACTTCCAGGGGCAATAAAATGACAAATTAGTCAAGAGTATGATCATGAAAATCACATTTTTTGCTGTACTATAGTGACCATGTGATTTTTTTTATCAAGTTATATTATATAATGGAGGAATGTTATATATGTCATATATGTGAATGTCCATGGTGAAACCAGCAACAAGTTTCCTTGGGGGCGTTTTGAGTTATTAACATAATCTGAAAGTGTGGGTTCTAAGCTAGCCAACGATGTCAAACACATGGCAATCAGAAAAAAAATGAAGAAGATATGGCCATTTGAATGCTTTTAATCTGCATATAAGATAAGGTAGAAAACAGGACTCAAAGTTCCAGATTAATTGTCTCCACCAGAGAGCGCTTCCTGGGGGTGTTAACAATGACTTCATTTATATTAATTTGCATTAACCCCACCCCCGAGCACTGACAATCAACACAGGTAGGGCTCTAGGAAAGTGTGCAGACAAAAGCTCAAAAGGCTCACAAGACAGAAGCTTGATTTTTGTAACACCACAAGCACAAATGTTATTTAAAAGGTACACACAATTTTAATTCAAGTCTATTTCCCACCATCATCCTTATCTATGATTAAAATAACAAGTGCCACACTACCTGATAAAATATAAATAGTTGTTTTACTTTGTAAAAACAACTTGTTTAACTTTCTAGCAGTTCTAGACCAAATTTATCTGGGGAACAAGATGAGGCCTGTGTTTTTTCATGGGGACACACAAGGCAAAAAGCAAAAAAAAAAAAAAAACAACGTAAAAAAGTAAAAGCTGCAACACCTTCATTTTTATCTATTTATTTTTTAAGTAAAACAGTGACAAGGACAAATTTTACAGGGGCACTGCCCCCATGTTCATTACAGATTAGGACCACCCCTGTTCCCCACTCCTGCAGCTGCAGAATGGACTCTCACTGTAGGTCTTGATGAACTCTAGATGGCGTTGTTGTGACCCGCATGCGCAGATGATGATGTCCCATTCAGCTGGCTGTTAGCTAAACATGCTATCCAACATGCTTGTTTAGTACAGTGTTTATATCTGAACAGTCAAACAGAACCAGCATGTCAATCAGCTGTGAGGGTCCACTCCCCAAAACGCAAATTACCTGTCGACTCGTTTTACTCTGAAAACAGCCTGAATTCATACACAAAGATTACCATTTTAAAACCTCTGAAACTGCTATTTAAAACATGGGGAGGATTCTTTATAATTTCAACTAGTATACTTAGCCAAAAAACGAAAATCACTATTTTCTCAGAAAATTATAGCTTTTCCTTTTTTTTTCCCTCGGTTTGTGCTTCAGCGACTTATCGCTGGTTTTCCCGTGGCGCATCACATGTCAGTGCTCAGGCAGTGAATCTACGTCACCCTGTATACCACAAAATAAATTACAGTTATAAACAATAGTGTCATCTACGTTAAAATACTTTTATTGCATTTTACCGTTGTTACAGTTTTATTAGTTGAGCAAAACTCAGATGGTGATCTCGAGCTCTCACTGGAGTGGTTCGCAGCCGAGTGTGAAGTGGCTGGGTCAGGATTAGGATCGGTGCCTCCAAATCCGAGACCATGGTCTTGAGCCGGAAAAGGATAGAGTGTCTCCTCTGGGTCGGGGAGGAGGTCCTGCCCCAAATGGAGGAGTTTAAGTATCTCAGGGTTTTGTTCACGAATGACGGGAGAAGGGAGCGGGAGAAGGATAGGTGGATTGGTGCTGAGTCTGCAGTGATGCGGGCGCTGTTCCGGTCTGTCATGGTGAAGCGAGAGCTGAGCCAAAAGGCGACGCTCTTGATTTACCAGCCGGTCTATGTTCCTACCCTCATCTATGGTCACATGCTTTGAGGAGTGACCAAAAGAACAAGATCGTGGATTAAAGCGGCCGAAATGAGTTTCCTCTGCAGGGTGTCTGGGCTCTCCCTTAGAGATAGGGTGAGAAGCTCAGTCATCAGGGAGGGGCTCAGAGTAGAGTCGCTGCTCCTCCACGTTGAGAGGAGCCAGTTGAGGTGGCTCAGGCATCTGGTTAGGATGCCTCATGGATGTTCCCCCTGGTGAGGTGTTCTGGCAACGTCCCACTGGGAGGAGACCCAGAGGAAGACCAGGACACACTGGAGGGACTATGTTTCTCGGCTGGCCTGGGAACACCTTGGGATTCCTCCAGATGAGCTGGCCCAAGTGGCTGAGAGGGAAGTCTGTGTCTCCCTGCTTAGGCTGCTGCCCCCGCAACCGGACCCCAGATAAGGGGAAGAAAATTGATGGATGGATGAGCTAAAATTCAGAAACATGTTTTAAWGAAAAAAAAACAAATTAATTTTAAGCTTCTGTAAACAAAGTTCACTAGAAAACATATTATGTATCACAGATAAATCGAATGGCTGCAGGAAATCCTGAGAGAATAATTTTCACACAGACTCTCTCTAACTAACAGGCCTGATTGTGCATTTTTCTGTACAAGCTGTTCATTTTGAAACGTTGCAGTTCCCCATTAGACATCACTTGCTCGATACTGAAGCTGCCTCCACTTGTTTGCCTCCCTGCTCATTCGGCTCTGCTTGCGTTGTGACAGAGCAGAGATGGCGTCTGACTTATCGCTGACATTTAGCTGCTAATCTCCAAACAGAGTGGGTACATTACGTGCTGATGCTGAAACAGTATAGATTGCTGCTGATGTCAGAGACTGAGGCCTTTCAGTGGGCAGCCATGGCACCACTAATGACAGCTTCATGGTCTTGATAGTACTGCAGCTTGCCCCTTTTTGTGTTTGGCTTTGTGCCACGTGGCCAATCAACAAGTMGATGTCCAACCGAGTGTGTGACGGCGAGTGTTTCTGAGCATGTATGGGATGTCATTTTTTTATTGTAGTACCTTCGTGCATTTTGCCAAAGCGTCTGCCCTGTGTCTTTATCAGACACGACCAGAAAGCAAGCRGCGCACACTCATGAGCACATCATATTCACTCAGCTGCAGTTGCGAGAGAGGACCTTTATCTGTATTCATGTCCTCACCCCGAGGACACGTGCACTCTACATGACTGGCTTTTGACACAATCCTCCTACACAGACTTCACTCTCTCTGTGTCTGGTTCTTAAAAAAATAAAAATAAAATTCTCCTTTAATCTTAAAAGAGTCTGTGGGCACACGCACTGCTCACTGATGGATTCTCAAGCAGATGAATGCTTTTGTCACCAGCATGTGTGATACTATTGATGCATGTGCTCCAACATGATTTGACTTAAGAAAAAGATTCTTACTGTGCATAAAAAAAGGATAATTCAATTTCTGTCTGCTTATTTAATAGATATAATCACTTGCTGACTCTCAGACATGACTGAAGCATTTCTTTATGAAGTCATAACCACCTGGAAGTGCAGCAACTTAGTAATATTTATGTTTAAAACATAATGTATTGGTTTCGGTAGGCTTCCACAGGGCATCTTTTTCTTTATTACCTGTTGCTGAAAGGCAAAAACAAGCCTGCATGTTTGTGTCTGTCTGTTAGCAAATTATTTCATGAACCGCTGAATGGATTTTACTAAAACTTTCATTAAGTAATCACCAAATAATTTTTTTTACAACTGGATTGACTAAGGAAACAACCCATTCAAGATGCCTGCCAACTGAGCATAAGAAACCAAAATGGCTACATATGTCTCAAGATACTGAACTAAAATCTGTTGCTTTAGCTTTTGGAAATAATTCTGTTAGTAAAATGTTTTGTAAAACACTGGATGAATTTTAATGGACATGTCAAAGTAATTAGTGGATTCAAATCGTCAAATTTTGG